GTACTAAGGAGAGATGGTAACATCGATATGTGCACCAGAGTGGTTGTATTTTTAGAGATTGGATCATATAGATGATCGGCTGATTCTGTCGATGGACTTGCAGATCAAGGGATTTAGCCATGTGAATCATAAGTTGGGCATAAGTCTGGAAATCCTCTGCCAGTGACAGCGGGTCGCTATTGACAATGTCCGACTCTGGAGATGTAAGTAACGCTGATGGAGTCTGTGGCTGATATCCATGGTCAGAGCCACCAAGGTCACATCTGGAATTGATGAACTGTTGATCGACTTCAGTGTCGAGAGGCTGAGTCTTGTAGTATTGCTGGTTATGAGTTGGAAAAGATGGAGGTGGCATATCAATGGACAACTGTTGATGTCCAGGATCATCAACATTGAAAGATGGTGGATGAGCGTTGATGGACCTTCATTGGTAGGGACAGACCTCGGTGTCAAGCTCAGTGTCGTAACAGTGCTGGGGTTGATGACTTGGATTTACGGGAGGACGGAAATTGTGTTGATGTAACGGAATGGAGTGAGTGTCCATGAACCAGGATGAATATCAAGTATCGTTGATATCAGAGCCTGTGTCTCTGTGATGTCAAAACAGAGGTTGCTGATGTGATGGCATAGCAGTAGAATAAATTGATGCTGGCGATGCCGAGAGTGGAGAGTGATTTCTGTCTATTGTAGTAGGAAAGTATCGGGAGGCTGGGGCTGCAAAAGCCTCACGTGTGGATGAAATCTGCTCAACCGTCCGAGGTTTTTTCGATACCAAGTGGGGAGCAGGCTGAGGTATAGTCAGCTCTCGGTGATGTGGCTGCTTCAACATCAATGGTTGTCAAGAGGTAGGCCGACTATTAGATGGTATTACTGAACCGGGTAAAACACCTGGTTGACTAGTTGCTGCAGTTTGTCAAGCAGAGCACTGGCTGGGGCAAATGGCAACCCGATGCATGTGCTGAGCGTGGGTTTGAACTACATGCAATGAAATAAGCTGTTGAGATTGTTGATGTTGCCGGTCCTGGTTAGGGATCGGTAGGCGATCCGATGGCATTGAATATGGAACAATGTCAAGCCATTCAGGATGGGAATCCTCGGGTGATGGAATAAACGAATGATTGCTGGAAGGAATGGAAGGTTGCAGACTGGGAGGAGAGGACGTTAGTTGGTCAATTTTATCATCCCATTCTGGAGACCGAGAACAGGGTTGATGAGATGGAAGTCTGTCATCATCTGAGGGAGATCCAACTGAAACTGATTCAGAGAGTTATGGTGTGTCTGTAGGTTTAGACTTTTTAGCTCGTTTAGGAGGGGAAAGAAAAAACTCTGATGAAAAAGAGTTGATCTAATAGTTTGAAAGAAAAAGATTGATAACAGGAAGGAATAAAAAATAAGCTCTTTCTCTTTTATTCACAGAAGCAGAATTATGAAGCTCTCAACGCGGCAGCTGAAAGAAACTGAAAGGGGACGCTTGGCGCCAAGGTACTTATATGGGTGGGGAGGGGCATATTTTAATGTGTTCACTGCTACCACAGAAGCTCTAGAATCTTCCGATGAGGCTCCGTGCAGGCGCAAATCACCCAGGGTGTGATTCACAGAGGCCACGAAGAAGACCTGGCACTTTCCCTTCTGATATGTAAGTTATAGTTTATGCTGCTGCTAAGCTACATGAAGGTAGTGTATAGATCAGGCATCCTGGCACAAGTCTATACACATACTATCCTGGAACAGAAATTCCAGTATCTAAGTTCTAACCCTAGTCAGAATATAAAATCCATCAAAGGTTAAAACAATTGATTAAATGCATATAGCCTTCCAAAATCCAGAAACCAAAATTTTACAATCATATTTTGCATCCAAGGACATACAAATTTATTACTATATCTGAACTGATACCCCATATGCTAATTAATGTTTAAGAGAAGTCCCTAACTGTTGCAGGTCCAAATCTGATTATGGTATAGCTATGAAGTTCCTGTTTCTTACAGAAAGATTCAAATACTTTCTGTATCAGGAAGATGGTAATTTACACTGCAACTCTATACATTTTCCTCAGAGGTAACTCTCAGTGATTTCACAGTGTCTATCCAGATGTAAATCCCACTGAATTCAATGGAGCTTATTTCAAGATCCACACTACAACACTGCTGTTGAAGATGGGACATAGTACCAGTTCACCAACATATCATGAGTTATCAGTGGAATAGACAGGATGAGACAGAGAAGGCATACCTTGTGATTGTCTGTCACAGCAATTTGAGAATCATGACGTCCTCTATGAACTGTATTTCCTTCGCCACTATGCTTAATAGCAGGAAATAGCTCTCGCCCAAAAGGTTCAGAAAAGAAACGACGTACATGTTCACTGTGTGCAGCAAATGGATCCCTGAAAATGATATTAATAGGGACAGGAATAACGTATTTAGAAGACAGGCAACCTACCACAATAACTATCCTGGTTTACACAGGGGTTTAGAGCTTTACAGGATATTAACCTATTTTTTGCAGTATACTTGTAGCTTCCTCAGCTTACACTGGTATGTTCTGGCATGCAGTTTAATTCCCATAGTACTGCACTGATGTGTTCTAGCATGCAGTTTGGAAAAGACTGGAACAGTGCATATTACTGTATTTTATTGTTGGCACCTGAATATAGCCATCACAGTAGAAAAACAGCAACATTCCTGCCTGTTCTCCTCTATATGAGTGCTCCTGGCAAAGAGATTAATTTGCATTATTAACATTTCCCATAAATGCTATGTTGGAACTACTGATCTGGTGCACCAACCACAGCAGAAATCCACATGAGAAAAAGTATCCTAAGACACTTCTTGGTAAACTACATGCATAGGACTGCTTCTCACAGAAAGGAAATTGCTTTTGCACCTGTCTGTGATTTGGCAGGCGGGGTGGGGCAAGGGGGGGGGAGTGACTTGGCAGGGCCAGAAAATACTGACTGAGATCTACTACAGCTTCCCAGGAACAGCTGCACAGTCAGGGAGACATTTATAAAAACCAATTTTATCCTCGACAGTATTTCTGGCTTGCCAGTTGAAGATCTCTCCTTGTGAGGCAGAGGAAGCTTTCATGTTAATATACAGTTTTAGAAGCTAATCCCAAGGTGAAGTAGTTCTATCCACTGGGAGGATTCAGTCTGCTGTATCTATTCTAGAACAGAATAGCCTGATGCAAGTAAAAATTATGATTTGATTTTGACTCTGGACAACTCCTAAACTATGCAGCTGTTAGTCATTGCGGCTACTTCAGTTAGACTACCACATGATCCCTACATATTAGCTTAAATTTACACATTCACCAACATGCACACACCAATAATAACAAGTAACAACAAGTTAAGTTTCACAATGCTTTTTAAACTTGGAATCTTGGTTTATTCAACCACATGGTACACTAGTTGCATGGTAGTGGATATAGCTGATTGGTTCTGCTTTGCTTCCCCCTTTGTACAAGCAGAAAAACAACCCAAACATCAACAGCATATTACATATAAGCAGAGAATTGTGGTTTACTGCTCAAAGATAAGCCCAGATCATCTTTCATACTGAAACTAGGCTTTCTTATTAGCTTATGAATTCTGACTTGTTTGACTGAATAGCTGTTCTCTGGAGGAAGTTTAAAACTGGCAGAGAAATTGTGTCAGAGAATAACAATAGGATGTGTTTTGCTCCTGAATTAAGATGTTGGACAGACAGTAGGTTGGTGATTAATTCCATTCAGTGGTAGTGATTAGGGTCTTACTGGATTAAAAAGCTCCAGATGATTGCATTAGGAATCATAATGACATAGGAAACAGAGTGCTAAACTTTCTGAAGTTTCTTTGTTCAAGATTTGCAACTCTGAAGCCTGAGAAAGTGTGTCCAAGAATTATGAAGTGTTCACCCACTGATTTTTGGGGTGTCCATTTTGTACCCATTTAGTTTTATGCAGAATATGGCCTGTTTGCCCAGTAAAAAAATGGCAGTGGTCCACTGCTGACAAAATATGACATATATCATACTGCCAGGAGCTCTGTATCTATTTAAAAGATGAAACACTACTTGAGGAAGCTTCCAGAAGCTGTAGTTTACCTTTATTTGTTGGAGGAAAGCATCTTTTAGTGGGAAGGGAGAGTCTATTGTATCTAAAAACAACTGGGGAGGGAATGTAGGCCCAGGGCTACATTTACCCACCCCTGGTTTAAAACAATCCTGCTTCAAGTCATTCCCAGCAAAGCTGTTTTTTCAATGCACAGTTTAGATTAACCACAGTTTGTTGAGTTTGACTAACCAGATAAGTTGTACTTAATTTTTAAAAAAATGAAGCAAATGCTTCTGCACTCTTCCTCCCTATTATGCCACAGGAAAAGAGAGAGAAGTTAAGTTAGTTTCTCATGGCAAGAAAAAACAAGACTCATTGCCAATACAATAAACCACGGTCTGCTATCATTTCCAAGTGTAGTCAATATGAGTTTTGTCAAACTGCCACAAAACATGTTGGTCTTTAAGGTACCAGAAGACGTTTTCTTTTTACATTTGTACAGGAGGTCAAGAGTTTTTTCTAACTGAAACTGCCTTGTAATAGCTTAATGGAAATGTATTATGTTACAGTGAAGTGTGCTGTTTACATACCGCCCTGTACTGCATAAAGCACTTTCTACACAGTTTAGAATTTAATTATGCAGGCTACACCCCCTTCTAGCTGGGTACACAATTTACTGACTGCAGAAGGATGGAAGACTGAGTCAACCTTGAGCCCGCAACCCGGGGCCAGCATTGAACTCAGGTTGTGAGCAGAGTCTCCAATGCATTGCTGCAGTTTAACCACTGCATCATGAGGCTCCTGTTACAGTATTGCACATTATGTAATATGATCCTTCTGCTTCACTCCTTTAGTATAACTATATGTACTATATGTAAAATACGGCTCTGTGAAACAGAATATTAATTACTTAGAAGTTTTGAGACACTCTTAAGCTTTGTCCTGAAGTTACCCATTAGGATTTAACCGAATTACAGTATTACAGATTTCCTAATGATTTCTAAGTTTATTGTGTATATTTTGATTCATTCATTTTGCCTTCTCATTGGGAATCCCAAAGAAGAACATTTTAAAAAATAATTGTTTCTACAATATGAATTGGGCATATTCCATTCACAGTTCAATTTTTTAAACTTTAATGCTACAAAAGCCTTACCAGTAGGATTTTTTCTCTAACAGGCAGGCAATATATGTTCATTCCTGCACAATACAACACATCTTTTTGCATTTGTAGCCACATTGAGAATCATTCTGAATCTATTAACAGTTGCATTCCTGCATGTACAATTAAGCATGACTTCTATTAACAGACACTCTATCTAGTCTACTGTTTTCATTTGAAGATGAAAAGTCTTTTCTTCATACAATGTATTTTCGCTTCAAGTACTGCCAAAAAATTCAAAAGCCAAAGCAAAGATCCTACAATATATTTTTCCCATAGTGCTCTAGGGGGTGCTTGCTATGCATATGGAAAGCTTATGTCCTGAACTGTAACTGAAATTGGATGACTTATAAAGAACCAGATACAGAATAATTTATGGCTCAAACCACTTTGGCCCTGATCCAACATTGATGTGGGTGAAATCCAGCATTTGCAAATGGAACAGATTTTTCTGTTTCCATGGAACTCTCTACTTCTCCCCTGGAACAGTTCCAAACCCTCCCACAGATATCTAGAGGTTGAGTGGAAAGGTATAGGGAGGGGAAGTCATTGTCTCCCTGTTCTGTCAGAGGGAGGGGTTTATTTGAATAGAGTTGTTAAGTATTATCTACAGGTCAAGCAAGCACCGGCCACAGAGATTCATTTTGTCATTTTTTTCTAAAGAAGCAAGTCAGTTTTAGATTTCTTACTGTGATTTATTTATTTATTTATTTATTTATTTATTTATTTATTTGATTTTTACCCCGCCCCTCTAGACAACGTCTACTCGGGGCGGCTTACATCTTACTGTGATGAGTGAACAGACAGGTTTGTGGTGCAGAAGAAGATCCAGTGCCAAAGGAACAATCTGCTTACGCATACACTTTTCTGAAGGACTACTAATGAATTTCAATTAAGTAGAAGTTGGCTACAGAGCTAATATAAAAGCTGATACAAAAACTTAGCAGATATTGTAAGAACAACCTCTTATATAAACATCAGGCTAGAGCAGTTGCTGACACATGGTACAATAATGCAGACGCTTCGGGTTGATTTCAAAGGATCAGTGATCACAGAAGTTAGCTTGCGGGAGAAATACCACACTGGGCGTTTGCTGAGTAAGGAGTTACAGATCTAAGTGTAAAGCTGCTAAGAAGAGATTATACCAGATAACAGACCTGTTAAGCCCAGTTCTGTGAACATACTTGGAAGTGCCTAGCTCTGCCCCTTTGTAGTTCCCTTCTTCATGGTTACTATGCTGCATCTTTAAAAAGGGGTTTCGTGTTTAGGCTCCCCATATGAGCAAGAACTCTGGAAGATCTGGGTTCTTGATTGTCCATAGAGCCTATGCACTTTATACACATAAGCAGATATAGTCTCATATCAAAATGAGGTGCTACAACTGTCTAGTCACCACAACAGAAGATGAGACTAGATCTGCCTAAGCCTGGTTTACAACAACTTCTAAAATATACATACAGCCACAACAGTGCTGCCCACAGTTATATGTAGTGAATACCAAGTAACTTAAAATCTACCCCTGGTTAAACCAGGCCTTACAAGTTACAGGTGAGCAATAAGCTTGCTACACATCTCTATCCCTGTCATGTTTCATATACAGATTTGCGCTAACAGAAATGTTCCTCAGGATTCATTATGAGTATTTAATACAAGTAACACTATTATTATTGTATTTTCAATAAAAGGTGTCCATGGATGAGTGTAATGGTCTATAGTAAGAAATATCCTCTTAAATGTAAGAATATTTCTAAAAAATAAGTGAGATATAGCAGCCAATTCCCCCTAGTCTTTAGGGGAAATACCCTTAATACTTGTATATCCTAAGAATATTAATGTGGACACAGATGACTGAAATCTACTTTCTAGTAGATGCAAAAATATTTCATGAACAGTCGGATCCTATACAGATTATGTGGGAATAAACCCCACTAAATGAAAGAGCATAAGTTATGCTTTTTAGTAACCCTAGAAAGGTATTTCTTCTCCCTCTCACTTTTATTACAACAACCCTGACAGGCAAATCAGGTTGAGAGTGTGGGATTGGCTCAAGATTATCCAGTAACATTCACTGCCTAGTACAGATCTGAACCCAGGTTTCCTAAAATCTAATCCAGCACTCTAATAAGGATTCAAGTTAATCAAGTACCATGTTTCCCCGAAAAAAATGACAGGGTCTTATATTAATTTTTCTCCAAAAACACATTAAGGCTTATTTTCAGGGGATAGTTTATTTTTTTTCATGTACAACAATCTACATTTATTAAAACAGAGTCATGTCATCTTCTTCTGGTTGCTGCACAATGGTGGAGGGTGGGGTTTCACTTAACTGGGGCTTATTTTGAGGGTAGGGCTTACATTACGAGCATCCTGAAAAAATCATGCTAGGGCTTATTTTCAGCTTAGGTCTTATTTTCAGGGAAACAAGATATAATACACAACTAATACAAATTATCAAAGAGGAAAAAGCAGAAAATATGTGGCAATTGAAGAAGCTGGGGCCACAGAAATCATTTCAAGTTATAACACAGTTTTATTCTTTCCTTTACCATGCTATGTGTGAAAATGCTGATTCTGATCTATGAAACCTCACACAGAAATAAATCCATTGGTCTTTAAAGTGCTACAATATTTTCCCTTTTCTTTTTCACCTTTGCTTTTGCCCACATAATGAGACAGATTAACACAGCTCACTTCTTTAGAATTTATCTTGTCTGCTGTACTATGAGAGACCAAGAAAACTGGATCAAATAATACCAAAGTTTTCAGCATTTATTCACAATTTTCAGTATTTAAAAACAACCACGGAGCCAATGTTTTGAAGAAACTGATTCATTGCTCCCTTTCAAAAAACTAAAAATCCTCTGTTCCTAACAGAAAACAATCACCTAAGTGTATATATATAAGCATAACATGCATCATGGGGGAGCAGAATAGGTACGTTTGCGAACGGGTTTTACTTTCAGCACCTTGGAAACCTTTCTACTTCAGCAGGGCTTGAGACTGGCCCAGTTCACAGTACTGTTGGCCTGGCACAGTTTGTATGTGGGCAAAGAAATATGTGAGTGAGTGAATACGGGCATGCTCCAGCAAGAACCAACTCCCAACTATTCCTCACCAGGAGGCCAGAAAAATGGCACAATTTCCCAAGACTGGGAAGTTTTCAGAAGGGTACTTCTGTCCCAGTGGACCTTGGTAAAGTGAAGGAGCCTGCTATAGCACCAGAAAACCGACCAAGAGCCTCGCCAGTTATTCTTGCTTTCTCGAATGGACCCATCCCATCAGCTGCATCCACGGTTATCCTAGGTTTGCAGATGAAGCAAGGGGGGGGGGCGTCCTTTCTTCCCTTCCCCTCCTTCCAAAATGCTGGTCAACTGTGGGTGATAACCTTTCACGCATCTGGTCCCTTGGTCCCTAGCCCACCAACGCATATGCCACAATCATGAAACTGATCTTTGAAGAACCGCAAGGGTCTCCACAGATTTCGTTGTGCCTAACTTAACACACACGGGCTACCCCTTCTGGAAGTAATAACGGGGGGGGGGGGATTTAATGCAGAAGGAAAACATCCGAATCCAGACAAAGGACTGCGGACCTCTGTCCTTGGGTTCAAGGAGATGGAGAATACAACTTGACTCCCACTCCACTCCAGCTCCCGCTATTATGAATCGATGAGAGACGGGGCAACCTTTACACGTTCCTCTCACTAATTTCTCTTTGAGAAAGAGACACGATTTTTTTTCACGCGGCTCCTGCCTCTATTTCCCCCCCCCCACTTCGGCCAGTCAAGTCTTCGAGAGTCTCCCGCACGCACACACACCCCCTCACCGAAAGAAGGGATCATCCTCGAAGACCCTGGACAGCCCCCCGAACATGGCTCTGGCTCCTGAGGCGCTGCTATTCCGCCGCCGGCTCTACTCGAGACCTTTCTGCCGCGACTTCCACCACAAAGAGCTGGAGAAACGGACCTCCTCCATGGTCCGCGGCCCGCCCCTTCGCCTTCGGGAATCTGCTCTTCCCGTTTCCTATTGGCTCTGGCGGGCGCCCAGCATGGCGGTTTGGTAACAAACGGGCGGAGCGGCTGTCATGGCAACCGGCTCCTGGGCTGGGCCTAGTCGGCGGGCAGAGTCGGCTTGGAGGATTTGTGCGGTTGTGGGTTTTGGGTTTTGGGGTTTTTTTTGTCGTTGCGGCGGTTCTTCCTTGCTTCTCTCAGGAGTGTATACCCATGGGCAGAACTACCAAGGCTAGAGTTAAAACTGCCCGCAGAAAACGGCAGCTAGGCCGAAGTTGCGGTGCAGGAATGAAAAACAAACAAAAACCTGACCAGGCAAAGGCGACCTTGGGCTGTGCCGGCGTTAAGTTACAGTGAGCTGCCTCCATTTGTCGCTGTTATTTTCTGTCCCCGTTTTATCAGTGTAAAATAAGTTGAAACTTTGAGAAAATCCATCCAGGGAGAGATGAACTAATGGGAAAACAAAGACGAACAAGGAAACGTTGCAAAAGTTAGAAGAAAAAGAAAGTACGTCTTAAAATATTCGTCGTCACGAAAGACAGTTTTTCTTAAAAGTACAATACTGTACTTTAATGCCGTTCTTCTGGCTCTATATGGGCCAGTGTGTCACAGATAGGGGGGGGAAGAAACATCAAAAATACATAACGTGTTTCCAAGGCTGCGAGTTTTGTCGAAGCGATAGAAAGTGGCTGCTTCAGTTCCGTTGAAAAGAAGAAGAAGAAGGGGGGGGGGAAGCACCAGGCAAGAGGCAGAAAAGTACAGACTGGTTAGTTTTAAGTCTGTCCCAGGTAGCTTTATGAAAAGTACCGTTAGATTGGAGTGTAGAAAAGGTCAAGTACTATTGGGGTGGGGGGAATCAACATGGCTTTTGTAAAGGTAAGTCCTGTTGCACTAACACCTCTCTTCTTTCAGAGAGGCAAAAGCCTTTGACTGTGTGGACCACAACAAACTATGGCAAGTACTTAAAGAAATGGGAGTGCCTGACCACCTTATCTACTAAGAAACCTATCCGTGGGACAGGAAGCAACAGATAAAACTGGATATGGAACAACCTATTGGTTCAAAATTGGGAAAGGAGTAGGACAAGGCTGTATATTGTCCCATGGCTTATTTAATTTATATGCAGAATTAAAGGTAAAGGTTTCTCTTGACATTTTTAGTCCAGTCATGTCCAACTCTTGTCCAACTCTGCGGGGCGGTGCTCATTCCGTTTTTAAGCCGTAGAGCCAGCGCTTGTCCAAAGACAGTTTCCGTTGTCACGTGGCCAACGTGACTAGGGAATGCCGTTTTACCTTCCCACCAAGTTGGTACCTGTTTACTCGCATATGCATGCTTTCGAACTGCTAGGTTGGCAAGGAGCTGGGACAAAGCGACGGGAGCTCACTCTGTCACATGGATTCGATCTTACAGCTGCTAGTCTTCTGACCCTGCAGCACAGAGGCTTCTGTGTTTTAGCCAGCAGTGCCACCACATCCCTATATGCAGAATACATCATGCGAAAGGCTGGAGTGGAGGAATCCCAAGCCACTTTCTGATGGCAAAAAATGAGGAGGAATTCAATATGCAGATGATACCACTCTGATGGCAGAAAGCGAGGAGGAATTAAAGAACCTCGTAATGAGGGTGAAAGAGGAGAGTGCAAAAAACGGTCTGAAGCTCAACATAAAAAAAAAACACACCTGAGATCTTGGCCACTGGTCCCATCACCTGCCAAATAGAAGGGGAAGATATGGAGGCAGTGACAGATTTTACTTTCTTGGGCTCCATGATCACTGCAGAGGGTGACAGCAGCCACGAAATTAAAAGACGACTGCTTCTTGGGAGGAAAATGATGACAAACCTCAACAGCATCTTAAAAAGCAGAGACATCACCTTGCCAACAGAAGTCTATAGTCAAAGCTATGGTTTTTCCTGTAGTGATGTATGGAAGTGAGAGCTGGACCATAAGGAAAGCTGATCACTGAAGAATTGATGCTTTTGAATTGTGGTGCTGGAGGAGGCTCTTGATAGTCCCCTGGACTGCAAGGAGAACAAGCCTATCCATTCTAAAGGAAATCAACCCTGAGTGCTCACTGGAAGGACAGATCTTGAAGCTGAGGCTCCAATACTTTGGCCATCTCATGAGAAGACTCTCTGGAAAAGACCCTGATGTTAGGAAAGTGTGAAGGCAAGAGGAGAAGGGGATGACAGAGGATGAGATGGTTGGACAGTGTCATCAAAGCAACCAATATGAATTTGACCCAAAACCAGGAGGCAGTGGAAGACAGGAGGGCCTGGTGTGCCCTGGTCCATGAGGTCATAAAGAGTCGGACACGACTAAACGACTAAACAACAACAGAGTGTTATTAAGCCCATGAATGGCCAAAATCTTGTTGATTAGTGTAGTGAATAGTACTAAAGTAGAGCCATTGAATCATTAGTGGATTTAGTGAATCAACTCCCTGTGTTCCATTGATTCAAATGGATCTGCTCTATTTGTAACTAATAATAATCTTAGAACTACAGAGCTGGAAGGACCCTTATGTTGAGGCACAGCAGAGAATCAAACTCCCAACCTCTGGCTCAGCAACCAGATACATAAATCACTGAGCTATCCAGCTGTTGCCTGAGTACGTCGTAGTTAGAATAGACCCATTTGAATCAATAGAACTTAAGGAGAAATTATGGAGACGTTGAGTCACTTTTATTGCTTTTGTGGCCCTGCTCTAGTGCAATATGCTATGCTATGGAACAGGTTTTTGGCCGATAGGATTATGTTGCTTAGGCTTCCAAAAGACATTGAACAAAATCTTCCACAAGACTCATAAAGTTTGCAATCACAGAATAGAAACAGGACTGGATAAGGGAAGAACAACTTAGTTCTTCTGAGTTTTTCTGTGACATCCAGTACCATTGACTATAATATTCTCTGGGATAACTGGGTTACTGTTGGAGGTACATGGTAGTGGTTCTACTCCTTCCTGTCAGGACATATACAAAAAGTGGATTTGAGGGAATGCTGTTCAACTGCATGGCCTTTGGCCTCCCTCAGGGCTCCACCTTATTCTTTAGATTATTTAATATTTATATGAAGCTGCTGAGAAAGATCATTTGGAGACTGGGAGAGCTCCCTAGCCACTCACAGGTCAGGTTGGTAGTCTGGGAGTGCTTTTTGACTGCATTGTCACTGGACTCCCAAATGGCAGTGAAGATGAGTGCCTTTGCACAATTCAGTCTGGTATGCTAACTATGACCTCTCTGAATCAACATGATTTAGCAAAAGTCATCCATCCATAGTTCCATCATGTACTGACTATTACAACATGATCTATGTGGGGTTAATCCTGAAGAGAGTCTAGGATCTTCAGTTGGTGCAACATGCAGCAGCAAGGTTGCTAACTGGTACATAGTGCCATGGTCATATGATAGTAATACTGAAAGACCAATATGACCTGACAATTGTTTACTACCTTGGCTCAACGATCTCTAACACTCTCTCCCTAGGTGTCAAGCTGGATAAATGCATTGGCAAAGCAGCTACCATGTTCTCTAGACTCGCAAATAGAGTATGGTTTAATAAACTGATGGCAAATTCAGGTCTATAGAGCCTGTGTCCTGAATACACTCCTGTATTACAGTGACTCCTGGACCCTTTGTGCGTGGCAGGAGAGAAAGCTGAACACATTTCATATGCGTTGTCGCTGATGCATTTTTGGTATCACCTAGCAGGACAAAGTTCCAAATAGAGTAGTCCTAGAACGAGCTGGAATTTTTAGTATGTATGCATTACTGAAACAGCAACATCTGTGTTGACTTGGGCATGTCATGAGAATGGCTGACGGTTGGAGTCCAAAAGATCTTCTGTATAGAGAATTAGTGCAGAGAAATCACCCCAGAGGGAGACCACAGCTGTGATACAAGGATATCTGCAAGCGGGATCTGAAGGCCTTAGGAATGGACCTCAACAGATGGGAAACCTTGACATCTGAGTGTTCAGCCTGGAAGCAGGTGGTGCATCATGACCTCTTGCATTTTGAAGAGATACTTGTTCAGCAGACCAAGTCAAAGAGGCAGTCCCAAAATCAGCAAAATCAGGAAGCTGGATAGGGTACAGATTGTATTTGTCTTCAGTGTGGGAGGAATTGTCACTCTCGAATTGGCCTTCTCAACTACACTAGACGCTGTTCCAAGTCCTCTATTCAGAGCATGTTACCATAGTCTCTTAAGACTGAAGGATGCCTAATCCAATGTTTACTAGGCCCAATTCAAGGCGTTGGTTCTTAATCCTTTGAAGCTCTAAATGGCTTAGGACCTGACTACCCTGTTTTCCCAAAAATAAGACCTAACCTGAAAATAAGCCTGTGAAGGAGGAATGACTGAGAGTATGCCGTCTGTTGTGATTGAAGCAATGATAGAGGAGGCGGGAAAAGATACGGCACGCGAGATTGTGGGTGAAATGACATCAGGAGTGGGAAAGAGCGAGTTCACAGAAGAAGTGGTTGCAAAGGCGGGAAAATATGAAACGGAGTCAAAAGAGAAAAAGGTGAAGCTATAAATCTGATGGAAGAGCACAGGAAGGAGAGAGGGGAGGAGCAACAACTGTCAGTGTGGGAGGAAAGTATAAATGAGCAAGGGGAAAGTTGGTTCAGGGCTGAGTGGGAAAGCAGGATGAGACAGTGGGAAGTTGAGAAATGTTGGCCCCTCGGCTGTGGAACACCCTCCCCACTGAAATTCGGCTGGCACCCTCGCTGGGCATTTTCAAAAGCCAGCTGAAAACTTGGCTATTCAAGCAGGCCTTCCCTTCAGTCAATTAAGTCATTCTTATTTTTCTTCTTTTATTCTTGCCATCTTGGGACTCTTTGCTTTAAATTAACTGTTAAAATCGTAAATTTATATTACATTTTATATCATTTTGTTTTAATGTAAAACTGTATATTTTAAATTGTTTTTATCTTCTAAATTGTGAGCCGCCCAGAGTAGACTATGTCTAGATGGG